GTCTTGGTCTTAATAAAATTGTCAATTTTGTAAAAAAAAAAAAATTACCCCTAACTGATAAAATCATAAAAAACATACATTTATGGCCATATTCATCAAAAATATGTATGCTATGGTTTATAAATTCTGTTGTACCACTATCAACCTATTCAGATGACCCTTCTGTATTCTCATGCTTGTAAATACACCCTGCCACATTTCTTCTCATCTCAGATATGTTTGAACTGTACATACGCATGTGTTAGGGCAAGAGTCAGCCGCACTGAACTTCAGCTACCATGAGAGAGGCACGTAGCCACATTTAAAAGACAGATTGCCTGCAGCTTCAAATGACACAGGGGAATGAACAGCAAGGCCTTTTACTGTTTGCTGTGCGCCGAAGAGCCTCAAAGCAATGATCAAGGAGAGGGAACAAAAATGTGATTAAAGACTGATGCAAGACAGATGCAGGCACCCTGTCTTCTAAAAAAGGTGACAAAACGTAGGACAGAAAGCTCCAAGTCCCTTTTATAAGAACCATTTTTGCCAAGTTAATCCTAAGGTTTGGAAATAATTATATATTATGCTAGTTAAAAAAATAGTTAAACCAAAAATAAAAATTTAAAATTCTGAAAATTTACTCAGGCCTTCCAAATTTGTTTCTTCACTGGAACAGATTTGGAAAAATTTAACATTTCTTCACCTGCTCACCATTGGTCCCCTGCAGTGAATGGGTGCCGTCAGAATGAGAGTCCGAACAGCAAATAAAAACATCACAATAATCCACTAGTAATTCACATGAGACCAGTCCATTGATTAACGTCTTGTGAAAATCCACCAACATATTTGTATTTGCTTGTAAACAGTGCTTGATCTGTGCATATTTCTCTCCTGATTCAGACGATATGACATTTTCACTGGAGAAAGCAGTATTATGGATAGGTATTAATAATGTATGGTATTTAAAAATGTCTTGATTGATCTGTGATTACAAACACACAGCTTTTCATTTCTCAAGATGTTAATTGATAGACTGGAGATGAGTGGATTACTTGTGGACTATTGTGATGTTTTTATCAGCTGTTTGGACCATTCACAGCAGAGGATCCATTGGTGAGCAAGTGATGCTCGCATTGCTCAGTAAACGATGTAGTAACAATTCAGGATGTTTCAGTCTCCCAGACATCTGTCGGATTTATTTTCCTCTGAATATCTTAGTAGCAAGTCTTTGAAACATTCAAGTGACTTAATGCTTTCAAACATCTTTTGTCACCACTTCTGAGAAGATGAAAAAAAGACACCCGCTTGCATCATGAATTTTATTCATTGTGTTTTCACAACAGCAGTAAAACCTTGGGGGCCGGCCCCTTCAATAGCATCCGCACAAGTGAATAGCAGTCACAGGGTCTGACCGATGTCAAGAGAGTTTATGAAAATAAAAAAGACTCAAGCTCATTATGCCTCTTGTTCCTTTGCCCTAGGACGGCAGAAAAAGAACCTATTTGCTGCTGTGGAAAGTTCAGCAAACATAATTCATGAAAAAATGGGATTTTTTTGTCCATGGAATGAGGCACATGAACACAACTGTGCGTGCAAACACACACACACACGACATACGCAACCACACACTACCATACACATATCGATGTAGCGCATGTGTGCACTGTATACTGCAGCGATCTACAAGATATGCACAGAAATAAAATTCTGTTTCATTTAGACATTAATCTGTCACAGTTCTCCAGGCAAGACACAATGACCTCAGCACCAAGCCTGCAGGAAATCACAGTGGGGGCGCAATGGATTTCATTTATAATTCATACTGGGCGCACAGCATTTTATTCTCCACAGCAGAGGCTTATAGAACCAACCTAAAGCGAAATCTGATATATTTCATTAAACCTTATATATGGCTCATTAATTATCCTTCTGTTAAGCTCACTGATGTATATCTCTTTTTAGGAATCCTTAGGGGCCTAAAAATGTCATGGGTGCCAAAGAAATTTGACAATTTATAGTTAATAAAGGCTTAAATTCTGTTATCATTTACCCTCATGTCATTGTATGACATTTTTAGACACACACACACAACATTTGAAAGACAAACAGGTCCAGTGTTATTTTTGGACCCCACTGACTTTTATTGTATGGACGTTCTTCAAAATATCTTCTTTTGTGTTCTGCAGAAGAAAGAAGGTCATGCCAGTTTGGAGCAGTGTTGTTAACTAAAACTAAATCTATTAATTTGTTTTTGTTAATTTAAAGGGGTCATATTTACACCAAATACACAAAATAATGTTCTTTTTAGCAGCATCATATGACCCCTTTAAATAAAAGTGCAATAAAATGAAATATAAATATTAGATGAAAAAAACTTATGAAAAAAAATTATAAATGTTAATTGAAATAAATACTAAAAATAGAAGAGAAGAAAATAAATTAAAGCTAAATAAAATATATTAAAAATAAAAATTATAAAAGCACATACCAAAATTACTAAAACTAAAATGAATGCTGAATAAAAAAGCTAATTCAAAATATTCATAAATACTGACTTAGAGCACAGAAGATCTTGGTCAGATAAAGATTTATTAAGGAAAGTTTCTGTCAAACAAATGAATTGTATTGAAAAGAAAAGAGGTGTTTGAAGCTACTGGAGTCTCAAGATCCTCTCCATGCAGACTGGCAGTTGTGGGTAAAGCTGTGTTTCAGTCACTGCTAACCAAACCTCACAAAGAGAAACCTGCACAGTGGCTGTAGAAACACATGAAGACTTGTTTTTAAATAGTTTTATTCACTTACGAATGCTGCAGTACAATGGATGGTCCAGATAAATGGATTTCTGATTGATGAATGGCCATCCTATTCCAATGAGATTGCAACATCAGCAAGGAGGCGGTGGGTGATGATTTGGGTTGGAATATTGGGAAGTGAGATGTAAGGTCATTTTAGGTTGTCAAAATGACTTCTGCAAGATATGTGGAGTTCATAACTCCACATAAAATGAAAGAATAGTGCTCTCGGAAATAAAAGGATTTTCACGCAGGACAACACACTATCCCATGCTGCATAAATACCATGGTGCTAAACAGTTTGAAAATGTGTTTCTACAGCCACTGTGCAGGTTTCTCTTTGTGAGGTTTGGTTAGCAGTGACTGAAACGCAGCTTTACACACAACTGCCAGTCTGCATGGAGAGGATCTTGAGACTCCAGTAGCTTCAAACACCTGTTTGCTGCTCAGCAGTGGCTTTTTTACAGCTGCCATTTCAATACAATTCATTTGTTTGACAGAAACTTTCCTTAATAAATCTTTATCTGACCAAGATCCTCTGTGCTCGAAGTCACTCACAAATCTTTTGACAGTTCAATAATCTCTATTTGCTTTTCGCAAAATATTATTTGTTTTGATGCCTTTTGCAAGACATTGCGTTGTTTCATACTTTTCATCTCCAGAAAGATCTGTCTTCCTCACCATATTTCATGACAACTGTGACTTGCTTAATAATGTGGAACAACCTCTTTAAGTAGGGTTTCCATTTACCTAAGAAGACCTGGAAAACTATTGAACAAACCTGTTTGAGATTGATACCAGTTATCTAAAAAGATGTGAAAAACAACACAGACAAAAATCTGACTCTTTATTATAGCGAAATCCTATTGATATGTCACTTGCATAATAATTTGGAACAGTGTAATAGTATATAAATCCTACTAAAATAACTCTATAAATGATGACAGAATTTTCAATTTCGGATGAACTATCCCTTTAAGTGTGTGTGTGTTTTCCAGCATTAAAAACTTTCTTCCATCCCAGCTTAGTTGATTTATCCAAACATTGTAAACAGTATGGCTATGGCACTATTAAACATGGCTCTTTTTTCTTTGAACACCCCAACCAGTCCAGCATAGCAACACTGACTGGACCAGTGATGTAATTTTGGGGGTGTTACTATCATTTTTTCAGACCAATGACAGATGGGGGAGTGTTTGTTTAAAGTTACACATTCCAGCTCTATGTAAACCTACTCACTGGTATTAAATTATGAACCAAACTTAAACAGTGAGAAATTTGATGCTGAATGATGCTAACCGATTGATCTTTTGCATCTCGTTGAATAAGTCAGCAGAAACAGCCCCCTGGTGGGATTCCTGCCACTAGCACTACAGTGACATTGTCTGAATTTGCAGCTGATCCCAGTTTGGCAATGTGCAAAAGAGTATTGCACCACGCTTAATCCAGACACATCTGGAGCATGCTGGCGGCGTGCTAATCAGCTCTGGGAGGATTAGCATCAGGCTAACGTCATTCCGCAAGGCAAGTCTTGTCTAGTCCAGCTGAAAGCTTTCGTTCCTTTCTGAAGGAATCTAGCGGGATGGGGATAGTCACTATTCGTTTGACTTTGATGTATGCTAAGTCTGTTTGCCATGTCATATTCTCTTGATCTTAAAGGTTTAAAAGAAAATGTGTTTGTTATTCTACTACTCCTCAACGTAGTATTACATTCCGTTTCTATCAGGGCCGTTATATCATAGATATGTTGAACTTAATATTTAGTTTTGTGGTCTATAAATATGACTTTTTCAATACTTGATTCTCGAATAATAACATTGTCCTCAACCTTATCCTCAATACACTACAAAAAAACTATGTTTTTAATTGTTAAATCAAGATAAATTTACTTGAGAAGCAAAATTACTTATATGTCTTGTTTTTGTATTGTCTTGTTTTCTGGAGAAAAAAAAAATCAAAATTAAGCGAGTTGATACTTGAAACAAGAAAAAATATCTGCCAATAGATAAATAGGGTAAGAAAAATTAGAAGGTTACCCCATTTGTTCTTGTTTTGTTTTAATTTTGATACTTTTTTTCATATAACAAGTCTTTATATTTACGTCAGTTTGCTTGTCAAAGTAAATGTACCTTGTTTTAAGAATGTTGATGTTTTACCAAAAAAGACAAAAATACTAAAATCATTTTTACAGTGTCTGTGGTTATAGACCACTAATAGGTTACATTTATCCTAGCATTTATGATATCAGCTTTGTAAATGGTCTAAATTGTCCCTACAAAGTAAAAAAAGTTACTATGTAGTCATAAAATGATGTTGTCATTGTGGTAGACATGTCATTATCATCTACGGTACATGTCGGATTAGTACATAAGCAATTACATCTGTTGTTTATTAGGCCTCTTGTTGACTTGTAGTTGAAGTATGTAATTAAGCACTCAAGTTTCCTCCCAAAGGAGGAGGGAGAACTTAACTTGCCTCTGACTAGAGCTGTTTTTGAGTCTCAAGTTCAAGTCTGCAATTGTCAAACCTAATTTCTCACCAAGTTCAACTTTGCTTCCTTTTACAGACTGATCCGCATACCGCCGTTAAAACATGTCGATCTCAAAGCACACCAGCATCATATGGCATTATTTATGACCTCAATATGTGAGGAAATAACGTATCAAAATATCTCCCGGGCATCATAGTTTGTAGCACTGGAGCTTGAGCGAGACAGACAGTCCTGTACTCTAGTTCTGGACTTATCATCTTGGGAGATACTCCTTTGGCAAGCCAGAATAGTTGCTGGCTCTGAGGGCCTGGTCCACAGTGCTGATGTATCCATCAATCAGCCGTTTCATATCTGGGGTGAAGGGGTCAAAGGTGGGCCGTCGCACACCTGAGCGCTTGAAGTGGCCATCCTTGTTGCACTCAGCACAGAGGAGCCGCTCTTCACTGACACTGGTATTGAGGAAGGAAGTGATGGATCGTAATGTGGGCACCAGTGACTCCTGCAACTCCTCATAGTGCACCACCAGAAGTTTCTTTCCATAACGCAGCCAGTCCAAAATGTGAGAAGCCCACCAGGAGGCATAACTACCCACAAATTCGGGCCACTCTAGAGGGAGGAGAAATATAAAAGTATTTTAGGAAAAACGATGCATTAAGAGCCCGGGGGGAGGACTTCAGATCAGGAAGATCAGGGTAAATGTAACTTTTTTTTTTTGTCCTCTGGGAAACATGTAAGTAACCTCTGAAGGGCAGTACTAAATGAAAAAAATATGATATTTAGGCAAATTAAGAAAAATTTACATTCTGTTCAAAAGTTTTCCGGCTCTTAATGCATGGTTTTTCCTTCTGGAGCATCAGTGAGCGTTTGAACCTTCTGTAATAGCTGCAAATGAGTCCCTCAGTTGTCCTCAGTGTGAAAAGATGGATCTCAAAATCATACAGTCATTGTTGGAAAGGGTTAAAATACACAAAAATGCTAGAAAAACAAAGAATTTGTGGGACCTGAAGGATTTTTCTGAAGAACAGCAGGCGGTTTAACTGTTCAGAACAAACAAGGGACTCATGAACAACTATCACTAAACAAAAAAACACCGCTGTGGATCATTCAGGTAACAACACAATATTAAGAATCAACTTTTGAACGGGGTCATTTTTATAAATTCAACTAATATTTTCTCTTGTAGACTATATGTAAACATCTTTTATGTGAAATATCTTATTCAGGTCAGTCCTAAATAAACAATAACATGCATTTTGTATGATCCCTCTTATTTTGGTAAAATAATTTAACATTTAGCAGATTCTGCAAGGTGTATGTAAACTTTTGACTTCAACTGTATGTATATATTTGCAATACTGACAGACACTGATGAAGTAAAACAAAAAAAACAAAAAATTCTAATATTGTGCTATAACCATTATGGTAGTGAAAGCAATTTCTCTGAGATTACAAAATCAATTGGACAAGCTTTTAAATGTTAATTAACTGGAAATAAATACTAACTAAAAATGAACTAAAACTAAAACTGAAAAAATTTAATTAAACCTAAATAGTAATATATAAAAATATATATATTTTTTATAAATTTAACAGATTTACTAAAATAACAAAATTAAAAAAAGTTATTAAATTAAAATGAATAATTTTAATAAAATCTATAAGAGTATATAAAAGAATACTAAAATAACACTAACATAAAGTGTCATAGAAGAGCTTAACTTATACTGTACTCATAATACCTTTGCTTTTCCAGTGCTGATCAGAAGCATAACCAAGATGTCCGGCGCACTTGCGGTTGAACTCAGCCATGAGTGAGCGGTAGGGGTTTCTTATCAACAGTATTGCTGAGTCATACATCTCTATATCCCGCTGGCCGCTCTCATGTGTCTTCACACAGATGGTTCTTCCACTCTTCCAGTAATCTTTCTCACCCTTGAAGCCTGCACAGTTGGGAGGAGAAAAGGATTAGAATATACAGCCAACTGCATGTGGCGACCGCCCAGTGCCGCCTCTGAATCCAAACACATACGTTCCAAAAACTGCATCAGAAATGGTGTTAGTCCAGGCATGGGCTCCACGGCCCCCCTCAGGCAAATGTGTCAGGTTCTGTGATGGATTTGAAAAGGCACTCTGACTTTCAAGGCAGGTCAAGTTCTTTAATGATAGAAAAAAAAATCCTCAATAAATTTTGGCATTTGAAAGAAAAGAGAAGGTCAGCTGTGCCCAAATGCACATTATCAAGCGATCTCAAAAGCTGCATGGTAGGAGCTGAAGAAAAAGAAGAAAAATGTCGAGAAACTTCAAAAAAAAAAAAAAAAGAGGCTCTGCTGTTTTTAATAAATCATTCCAAAACTCACAAACTCTGGAGTTACTGTTTAAATCAGTCCAAACTTCTTAAAAACAGTTATATATACAGTATGTATATATAATCCCATGATGTTGTGGTGGTAGATTAAACTTTGGTTAAATTCCCACTTTCCATTAGAGACATCAGCCTGTTTATGTGCAAAAAGATAGCAATGATGATAAATTCATTCCATCCAATGTCTGTGCAATAATATTTTTCAGAGTGGTTTGATTTGTGTCCGTCAAAGACAAGCAAGCGTTTAAAATGGTAAGATTTATGATCACTGGTAGAGTGGTGCTACTGTTACCTCTATTGTAGAGGGTGCCATCAAAGTAGTAACTGCCTGTGTAATAGCCTGTGGCGAGCTCGATCAGGTGCCTCACCCAGGTGTTCCCCGCACCAGGAAAACTGGACAGAGCCACCAGTGAGCTGGACTTCTCAGGTAGAAACTTCTTCTCTGTGCATCTGGAATCTGGACAATAAGACATTTTCAATATTTATTTGCCACTTATAGAAGGTAAGATAACATATAACAACCTGTTATTTTCAGCCAGGTAGTTATATTGCATCTGTTTATTTAAAAAATCACATAAAATAATTCCTCAAAGGGTTATCTAATAAAAATATAGAAATACATTTATTTTAAGAACTACATAAACAGTTTTTAGTTTTTTTTGTAAAAGTGCTGTGTTTTTTTATTGATTGATTGACTGATTGATTTTTGGTTGTGTGTAGCACCTACAGCTCTGCATAGCCTTTCGGAGCATCCCAGTGTTAGGTGAGAATGGCTGAAGTTTATTTTTAACAAAAATTAACAGTTTTCTTTCTTGTGTTAACATATCTCCTATTGCAACAGGAAGTCGGGGGAATGATGGCTTGATAAAACAATTAGCATAAAACCATGCTAGTTGATGGCAGGTGGTATTTGAGAGAGAAAACATTTGATAAATTTGGTTTCAATAAATTATGACTGTTTATATGTATTAAGATTAAACGGGGTAACTGTTCCTTCAATTACAATACATATACTACTGTTTAAAAGTTTTTTCACATTTTTTTGGAAAGAGAAATTAATACTTATATTCAGCAAGGATGCATTTATTGATCAAAAAGGACAGTAAAGACATTTATAATGTTACAAAAAGATTTGTATTTTGAATAGATGCTGTTTTGTACTTCATATTACATTTTTCAGGATTGTTTGATAAATATGTACTGTATATATTTATTTATAAAATACAAAAATACTAAGCATCAAATCTGTTTTCAATATTTATAATAATAAGGCATATTTCTTGAGCACCAAATCAGCATATTAGAATGATTTCTGAAGGATCATGTAATATTGAAGACTAAAAATGTATCTTTGATCCACATGAATCTAGTGTTGATGCAGTCAGGAAAGTCAGACCTGATCCATGCAGTTCTGGATGCACCACTGGGAGGTGAGGTTGGGCTGGATGACATGAGCCAGGGAAGCTGCTGTTGAGTTGTCAGGTTTTTTGAAGCAGCCCCGGTAGCGCACGTTCCTGTCTGAAGGCAGAGGAGAATGGTGAAAAATAGTGTAGGAACAAGATTTTGTGCCAACACTCAGTTCATTGCTCTAAGGTTTGGAATACTGCAGTGAATGTGTAATTAAGTAGAAGAAGAAAAAAAACTCATAGACCTTCAAAGAAATATCAAACATTTCAAGGAATCAGGCTGTATGGGTAATGAGTGAACTGCAAAGAAGCCACATTTCACAGAAATAGGAAACTGCGCTAATATGAATAATTTTATCATTTTTTTCGAGTTGCTTCAGCTTTTTCCAAACCCTTCTCAGGCACAGCTGCATGTTTCTTTTAGCAGGTGCTTTTGAATGTAAGGAAAGGAATGAATTTGACGAAACTCATCGCTATGCTTTAAACTGACATTTTGATTTTGAGCTTCCCATGATAGCAGATGTACACAACATGTTAATATTAATAATAATATGTTTAGTTGATATACTGTACACTACCATTCAAAAGATTTTTGGATGTTTTTAAAATAAGTCTTTCACACTCACCAAGGCTTCATTTATTTGATCAGAAAACAGTAATACTGTGAAATATTATTACAATTTAAAAATAAATGTTTTCTATTTGAATATATTTTTAAAATGCAATTCATTCCTGTGATGGCAAAGCTGAATTTTCAGCTGCCATTCAGAAATCATTCGAATTTTCTGCTCAAGGAACATTTCTTATGATCAATGTTGAAAACAGATGTGCTGCTTAATATTTTTGTGGAAATCGTGATACTTTTTTTTTCAGGATTCTCTGATGAATGAATAGAAAGTTCAGAAGGAAAGCATTTTGAAATTGTATCTTTATATTTTCCCATTTTCATTCCAGTTAAAGTTTTACGTCTATATTTTTATTCATTTTTATTTCAGTTTTAATTTTAGTACATCAAGTTTTGTTTCAGTTAACATTTATTTGATTTTACATTTTTTTATGGTTTTAGTTACAGTTTTAGTTAACTAGAAGAACCCTGCCTAAATCAAACAATACATTCCTGCATCATTATATAACTATAATAAATGTGTATTTTATATATAAAGGTTTCCACAGCTAATATCCAACTAGAATTGACTCGACATAACTGAGCCTACAGCGAACAAGCCCAGAAACAGATTCACCTCATGGACAAACACCGGATGTGAGTGGATACTGTGATTTAAGGCGTTTGTATCTGCATTAGCGAGTGTGCTCAGGGCCTTCATGACACTTTGTCACCTCTACAGGGTAAACAAGCACTCTGTAACCGAAACCCCGGGGCTTTTGTTTGCCTCTCCAAATAAATGAAGAGGCCCTGCAGACCGCCGTTTGCTTTTGAAGCAATCACATGATTCTTTGTGAGGGCCATAAATGAGACACAGCTGCATGAAAACATCAAACAAAGCACTATTAAAACAGAGTGCAGAGGAGCACCACAGGCCTCGGGTGAGCCTCTGAACTTCTTACTAAGACCGGCGGTAGACTGTTCAACTATAACAAAACAAGTCAGACCACGGTCACCGACACATGTGTGGAAAAGCGATTCTTGCAGAATGTTATGCACAGAATATTTTTGCACAAAAATAAGCTATGTATTATAGGCTGTAGACTGCTCTTAGATTTGTAGTCAATAATTTAAAAAAGTATGTATCTAAAATTATATAAAGGTTATGCATATATAATCCAGTATAAAAGTATTACAAACATTTTTTTTTTTCATTCATGAAGATTTTTTTAATCTAGTTTTATTTTAATTTAATTTTTATTTTATTTGTTTTGTTTTGTTTTTAATTGCAAAGTCCCAGAAATCAAGATTTTGAACTGTATTTAGATATATCCCACATTTTGTAATAGAGCTGCAAAAACTGCATATAATGCTTTCATATTTACATTCATTCATCTGGTAGATGCTTTTTTATAAAAAAGCATTATAAACACTTTTTATTCATTCATTAATTATTATTTTATAGCTAGAAAAATACAGAAACCAGGATTTTATTTTATTTTATTTTATTACTTTATATTACTAATATAATTTATTATTGTTTTTTTACTTGATTATTTTAGTTTATTTTATTTCTAGAAAATTACAAAGTCACAGAAATCAAGATGGTAAACTATATATGTCCCAAATTTTGTAACAGGGCTGAAAAAAAAGTGCAGATAATGCATTCATATTCACTTTTATTCATTTGGTAGATGCTTTTATCCAAAGCATTATTTAAAAGTTTTTCTTTTATTCATGAAGAATTATTTTAACATTTTATTGCTTTATTTTATTGCTAGAAACTTACAGAAACCAGGATTTTTATTCAGCATTTAGATGTCCCAATAATTTTCCTTTTTAAGAGGCAAAACAATTCCTGATATGTGTGTTCTTATTTACATTTATTCATTTGACAGTCGCTTTCATCCAAAGAAATTAGGTTCCACACTTTTTTAACCTTTTTTTATTTCTTGACCTTCATTGTCAGCATTGTGCTCTACTAGTTAAGCTGCGTTTTTGTGCATGTTAACCGCAGAGGTGAGTTACAGCTTATCTGTGCCAGAAAGCAGTATATTAGTTTTTAAGACTTGCATTTGCATTTTTGCATGTTTATATGACTAATATTTATTCTCTTTCAGAATGCTGTTTTGTATGCTTCCCAATGCATTACTAATGCCATGCATGAATGGGTGAGAAGTTCTGCCCTGCAAAAAGGTAAACTTATTTCAAGCACTCACATCTCCGCTGGCCAGGATGAACCTCCTCCACCTTGTAAATGGACAGACGGGACACACCTCCACAGATGGCGCCCTTCTGGCCTTTGCAGTCCAAGTTACACCCCTCCTCTTTCATCCGAGCACTTGTGATGCGGTTTCCACAGTAACACTCGGACCCATATTCAAGGCCAGCGAACTGGTACCCGCTGTGTGAAACAAAACATTCAAAATCTAATTATTATCACAAAAGAATGTGCCAGCGCGGATGAATAACATGAATATTTACAGCAAAAACTCTTTAATTTCTTAATACAAAACAATATTACATTTGTCATTATAAAATAAATTCATGCAAATGTTAACTAATGTTTTCAAATGATGTAATGGTTTCTTTTTACAGTATTCTAACAATTTAATAGGTGTAATATATTAACAGAGTTTTGAATTTTAAAGGTGTGCAATTTTGTATTAAAAAAAAAAAAACTATAAGCCATTCCTAGGTTTATTTTTTTCCCTTGTTTCAGCATCCCAACCACCTTGACTCAGCAACACTGACTCAACCAATGGCATCAGCTGTGGGCGGGGCTGTCTGTTTGGACAGCCAGTGGTAAACAGTGTAAGTGTTTGGGAAACCATTTCGAAAACAGTCAATATTTTGGCAACATCAAATCTCCATGGCCAGACTATGAAAAAAAGTCTGTCCCCTGTTGTCCACCGACATATTTGTTTAAAACTATTTTGGACTGTCACTTGTAAATGGTGCTTGATCTGTGCATATTTCTCTCCTAAATAAGATGGGGCAACTTATTCACTGGAGAAAGCAATATTATGGATAGAGGACTAGGCAACGGTTTGAGGTTAAAAAAATCTTGATGAATTTGTTTATACAATTATCGTTTCACAAGACTTAACTGATGTACTCGAGTCATGTGGATTACTGTGATTTTTAATCAGATATTTGAAGTCTCATTCTGACGGCACCCATTCACTGCAGAGGATCCATTGGTGAGCAAGTGATGCAAAGTTTCTCCAAATCTGTTCTAATGAAAAAACAACTCATCTGTATCTTGGATTGCCTAAGGGTCAGTAAATTTTCAGCAGATTTTCATTTTTGGGTGAACTGCATGTCAGTGCATTCTTTGGTTCTCCCAGAAAGGCCCTTATACTTTTTACACTCTTTAAAAGACAGACCCAGTAGGGATTCTGCTAAAGACCACCACCATCTCCCTGTTCATATCTGGTTGTGAGCTCAAGGGGTTAACAGCTGGTGATTGGCCCGCTTGCTGAGCTAAACATCTGTCTCACCATTTCCACACCCTTCGGTGCTAGCCTATGCCACTTTGTAGTGGCAGCCGTTCTCAGGGTGCCATTGCGAACCACCTGGCCAGCTATCTCACAGTAACGAGCCTGTCCAGGAAGCTCCTGCATTCACCTCCATCTCATCTTTTCCAATAAATTGGGACCTGTACAGACTCCTGGTTCTGTGACATTGACAGCACATTGGTTAACGGTTAATCACAACGATCTTCCTCCATCTTGAAGCTTTTGTCCTCTGGCCCTCTTGACTTTTTTTGGAGATTGCAAAAAGGCGCAGCACGATTCCATTCAAGCATGTTGGTGTAGGGCTCAACAGGTATTAGCTTGAGCCCCTCTGCAAATTGTTTCTCTGATCCTCAGCTTGAAACGTGGCATTGGCACTGCCATGGAAACCCTGCCAGGGACATTCCCACTGTTAAATCTGCGCTCTGAATTAATCGCTCAGTCTGAGCAGACATGTACCTGCAGACACAGAACAGGAGAAGATTTTCTCCCTGTCACCTACCTGTAGATGATAACACTGGGCTGGGATGTCAGATCCTTTTCAGTCTGAGCAGTCACAGAGTATTAACGAAAACGTTTTCTTAGATATAAATACGTTCTATAAATGTGGGGTTCTGTTACTTATTTTTTATCAGCATTAGAGGCTGATCCCATGTTTTTGAGGTGTTTACTTTTAGATATTTGATAAACTATACTACTGATCAACTATATGTTTGATCCTATACTAATCTTAAAAGTAAGATTTTTTTTAATTTAAAGACTGGCAGTAAAGACTTTTATGTCAAAAAAACTTTAAAACTTAACTATTTTGGACTGTCACTTGTAAATGGTGCTTGATCTGTGCATATTTCTCTCCTAAATAAGATGGGGCAACTTATTCACTGGAGAAAGCAATATTATGGATAGAGGACTAGGCAACGGTTTGAGGTTAAAAAAATCTTGATGAATTTGTTTATACAATTATCGTTTCACAAGACTTAACTGATGTACTCGAGTCATGTGGATTACTGTGATTTTTAATCAGATATTTGAAGTCTCATTCTGACGGCACCCATTCACTGCAGAGGATCCATTGGTGAGCAAGTGATGCAAAGTTTCTCCAAATCTGTTCTAATGAAAAAACAACTCATCTGTATCTTGGATTGCCTAAGGGTCAGTAAATTTTCAGCAGATTTTCATTTTTGGGTGAACTGCATGTCAGTGCATTCTTTGGTTCTCCCAGAAAGGCCCTTATACTTTTTACACTCTTTAAAAGACAGACCCAGTAGGGATTCTGCTAAAGACCACCACCATCTCCCTGTTCATATCTGGTTGTGAGCTCAAGGGGTTAACAGCTGGTGATTGGCCCGCTTGCTGAGCTAAATATCTGTCTCACCATTTCCACACCCTTCGGTGCTAGCCTATGCCACTTTGTAGTGGCAGCCGTTCTCAGGGTGCCATTGCGAACCACCTGGCCAGCTATCTCACAGTAACGAGCCTGTCCAGGAAGCTCCTGCATTCACCTCCATCTCATCTTTTCCAATAAATTGGGACCTGTACAGACTCCTGGTTCTGTGACATTGACAGCACATTGGTTAACGGTTAATCACAACGATCTTCCTCCATCTTGAAGCTTTTGTCCTCTGGTCCTCTTGACTTTTTTTGGAGATTGCAAAAAGGCGCAGCACGATTCCATTCAAGCATGTTGGTGTAGGGCTCAACAGGTATTAGCTTGAGCCCCTCTGCAAATTGTTTCTCTGATCCTCAGCTTGAAACGTGGCATTGGCACTGCCATGGAAACCCTGCCAGGGACATTCCCACTGTTAAATCTGCGCTCTGAATTAATCGCTCAGTCTGAGCAGACATGTACCTGCAGACACAGAACAGGAGAAGATTTTCTCCCTGTCACCTACCTGTAGATGATAACACTGGGCTGGGATGTCAGATCCTTTTCAGTCTGAGCAGTCACAGAGTATTAACGAAAACGTTTTCTTAGATATAAATACGTTCTATAAATGTGGGGTTCTGTTACTTATTTTTTATCAGCATTAGAGGCTGATCCCATGTTTTTGAGGTGTTTACTTTTAGATATTTGATAAACTATACTACTGATCAACTATATGTTTGATCCTATACTAATCTTAAAAGTAAGATTTTTTTAAATTTAAAACCAAATTTGACAAATCAAAAGTGGCAGTAAAGACTTTTATGTCAAAAAAACTTTAAAACTTTCTATTTATCACAAATATTAAGCAGCATAACTGTTTTCAGCATTGACCATAATGATAAATGTTTCTAGAGCAGCAAATCTTCATATTCGAATGGTTTCTGAAGGATCATGTGATATTGAAGATTGGAGAAATGGCTCCTGAAAATTTAGCTTTGCCATCACAGAAATAAATAACATTTCAAAATATATTCAAATAGAAAACAGATGTTTAAAATTGTAATAAAATTTCATAATATTACTGATTTTATTGTATTTTTATTCAAATAAATGCAGCCTTAGTACGCATAAGAGATTTCTTAAAAAAAAAATCTTACTGACCCTGAAGTTTTAAATGGTATCTAATATGAAATTAACCTAGCATGAAAAGTAGTTTGTCAAATGTCTATACAGGTGCATCTCAATAAATTAGAATGTCGTGGAAAAGTTCATTTATTTCAGTAATTCAACTCAAATTGTGAAACTCGTGTATCAAATAAATTCAATGCACACAGACTGAAGTAGTTTAAGTCTTAGGTTCTTTTAATTGTGATGATTTTGGCTCACATTTAACAAAAACCCACCAACTCACTATCTCAACAAATTAGAATACTCCATAAGACCAATAAAAAAA